TTATAATAGGTCACCCGAAAATTCTGGCCCTTCCCAAAAGCAAGGAAAAGACAAAGTAAATTATATATATATATATATGTGTGTGTGATGTACCAGCTTTTGTCCAGAATAAAAGATTCGTGAAGAATCATAAATTGTAGTCGTAGCTTAAATTATCAGATGATAAGTTTAAAAAACAGGATCCATTTATCATTATTCAGGAGAAATAGCTGTTACAAAATCAGATATCCGGAGTAAATAAAAAGAATTACTAATAACTTTTTGTATGAAGTTTACTGCATCGTGACATTTAAAAAAAGCCCCCGATATTCTTTTGCGAGTCCTTTTATAGCCTCTGGAAAGGCGGAGCTTCAAAGAAATGACGTCAGCCTCGTCAGCCAATCCAGTTCGCTTTAAATATCTCCAGAACATTTTATAACTGTACGTGTAGAAAAGGCGGGAAAAACAACTTGACTACGGGGCTGTGGATTTAATTCCACGTACTTTTAAATAAGAGAACGTAGCCATTAAAAATAAAAAGAACATACAGTTAGAATTTTAAGTGTATTCTTGATTATGGAGTTTTATTATTACAAATATATATATATATATATATATATATATATATATATCTACAAAGCTGTTAGTTAAATTTAAAGCTCCGAAATTTTTATGAACTTAGCCGTTTAAACTCAAAACCGCCCCTCGAATTTCGATGCGTATGCTTGTGATAAAATTACTATAGTGATGATGTTCGGGTGCCATCTGGATACTTTTATCAAATCATATAATATTTCTTTTATATTGCAGGAAGTAATACGCATTATCATTTTTATATAGTCTCGTGATCCTTTTTGTAATCGCCTTCTTTAAATTTTACGGAGAAGACTCATGCTAAATATTTGTCTTTTTATTACCGATTGTGCAGTTTTGATGGAGAAATTATTTTTGTTAATGTTTCCGACAAGAATGGTCATGTATTCGAGACCATAGGAAAACGTGCGCGAGTCAAATCAACGACAGACACGCCCCATGTTGTGTAATTACGCTAGCAGACTTTGCTGCAAAACGTAATCATAATTTAACCCTGCGGAAAATTTACTCCGCCAGTAGTGCTTGCATCTCGTCCAGAATTTCGTCGTTGCTTAATTAAACGACGCGTTCCTCTGCGCTTGGTAGATGTCGAGATGGCGAGACTTTATTGCCGTCGCGGGAGATCGCTTGCTGGCTGATGTAGTCACGATTTCATATTTTTTCGATGTAAATAGTGGTGGTAAAGATGTGTGATCAACGGTATTTTAAAACATGGCCGTATCACACGGAATCCTTTATGGCATATGATAGTAAACCTTAAAAAAGCATCAATGAATTTAAGAGCTGAAATAACGATATTCACATGTGTTCTCTTTGTTTCAAAATTGCCTGATTTCTGTGAACATTGGTTGCTGTTTAATTCTTCTTGTTATATTTGAAGTCTTTTGGCAACACTGTACGAAATAAAGCATTTTTGTCTGCAACTTGCGAGAATGTCTGTGTGAAAATCTAAAGATGAACGATTGTTAACCAGTTAACTGTGGCGCTCTCGTTAAGAGTGAGTTTCGCTGGTAAGATATTGGATGAAAAAAGATGGGTTTATTTTATAAAATTGAAACTTTTGTTACTAATATTTACTTATTTGGTTAACATAAACATATATTACATACATATTAAACTAATAACGCAATAAATTAAATTCAATATTATACATATAAAACTAAGAACTTAAATTCCTGCTGTGGAGTGATATTCAGCGAAACGGGGTTACTATACACAATGGGACTTTGCAAATCGAATACCAACGCGATTCCTTCCTGATCCTACGTTTCTAGCAATGCGAACACCTTCGCGTAGGGTTTTTTTTTATGTTCCGAGTATACAATCCGGAACATGATTCCCGCCTAAATGGCTTATATTAGGTCTAAATGGCCTAGTTTGCGTCGATTTCTTTCGATTGGATACGTCGCAAAAGTGTCTTCAATAAATTTGAGCAAAACGTTGATACGCGATTATGTTCCATTATTTTTTTTATATAATATGAATGCATTCAGACACAGGATGTCTAAGAAAAGGAGAAATATCTTTTTGTAGTACTTTTTGAGTCGTTTTCTTGCTGTGGAGTACGCTATGATAATTCCATCGCTCATATCCACTCCACCCATTTTTTATTATAATCAATCACTAGCTCCGGTTTCTTTTTCTCCGGTTATTTTTCTTTTCTCTGTTTCCATTACGTTGTCATTATGTACAGTACTTACTAAATAAACGTCCCCTCTTATCTTTCCATTTCATTATACGCATGACGAGTATACTCGTCAATACACAAAACCGTGCCGCTTCTCCATGACGAGTATACTCGTCAATCATAGTAACTGGTTAACCCCCTTAACTGCCCCGGGCGTATATATACGCCTTGCTCAGCCGATGCGTTAACTGCCCCAGATGCGCAGCCGATGCGTTGACTTTGCGAATAATTTTAGGTGTAGCAACGCAAAGCAAATGATAGCAGTTTGGAAGGACGTATATATACGCCTGGGGCAGTTAACGCATCGGCTGAGCAAGGCGTATATATACGCCCGCGGCAGTTAAGGGGTTAAGTATTTTTAGCTCAAAGGAGCGTTATCTAATGCTCTCGAAACGGGTATGTGTGTGTAAAGGAAAAAAACGCCTTTGGGCGTAATATGGAATCTGAAAGTTTTCAGACTTTTTTAAGTATTTATTTATTGAAACTGCAGTATCTCTTGGTATAAAATTTGTAGTTTTTACGGATATGAGTGCCTTACGACAAAAACTGACTGGGATACTTAATTTCAAAATTTGCAATTTTTTGTGTCGTTTCCAACTTGCCTTGAAGGTCGGTAATATGTTTGAAAGGTGAATCGACATATAAAGTTTTCAACGCAAAATGCCAAAATTATAAGCCCTTTTGTGCTAACAAAATGCAGGAAAAAGTGTATACAGTTTAATAAGCCTTTCATGGAGGTCATGTAGCGTCCACGACAGTTTTTTTTATGAAAGAAAATATATTCATTTTTTCGGAAATGTTCTTTGCCATAACATAATTTTAATTCTGGATAAAGGCGTATATAATTGTTTCTTAACTTGTCTGAGAGATTCCAATAAATAAAATGCAATAAGTCGTTAAAGTGTGATTACTTTTTAATTTAAATATGCACGCAATAAGCTAATTTATTGGAAGTCATGAATTTTCTGTATAGAGTAAATTAAATGAACATTTTTAAAGTTACCGAATTAGCCACGAGGTCAGTTTTTCCAACTCTAAAAATTCCTTTACATTTAAAAAAAGACTTGTTATCAATCATAATTAGGATAGAATATTGTGAAGTTTTGACGCTTGTTAGATTGACTCCAAGAAAGGACTTATAGTATTGACTCCAAAAGAGAGGACTTATAGTTCATGAAACAAATCACATGATTATTTTCGTATTCTAAACAACCGAAGGTGCTTCTGAAGAACGAAGGCTGTGTTGTGATTTTGAAATGCACGTGCCTTTCAGAATTAAAATCAGTACCAGGCAAAAATTGAATTTCCCTTTTTTGGATAATAAGTTAGCGCGAAATCCTTGTATCTGATACATCTGCATTTGCAGTGTTTTGTAGCCCAAAGCCCAAAAAGGCAATTAATTTGGTTTTGGCATTTTGCGTTGATTTATTTTCTACGTTGATTCACTTTTCAAACTGTTGTCACCAAATATTATCGCCCTGTATTATATTTAAAGAAATTAAATAATGACGAATCTGCATAAATGTATGTATGTTTCTCGCATTGTGATAAAGCAGCGGTACCTAGAGCCATCCAATTTGAAATAGCGTAATCCTCCACTGAATATTGGCATCTGGAAGCCCTAATTTGGAATTTGTTTTATCCTATTTATATTTTGTTAGACATTAAAAAATTTTTGATTAATAAATTCAGCGATTTCAAAGCGAGGAATGGCAACACTGTACGGTGAAAACAAACATTTTTATCTCCAGGGCGCGAGACTGTGTATCGAAAATTCTAAAGGTATGGTCATTTTAAATTTATTTTGCGATTTTGGTGCTGAATTGAGTTTTATGGTTTTAATGTGAAGAACATGATATTTAATAAGTAAAGGTAACATACAAAACGTTAAACGAACACCCCCTTTGGGCGTAATGTAAATTCTGAAAGCTTTCAGACTTTTTTCTCCCCTTACTTTTCCTTTCTGAAATAGGGAAATGTATATGACTTACATAACGTCATGAAACTTTACTAGCCCAACATCAATCGAATTTTCAGCGGATTCGCGAGAGAACGCAACTTCTATGTTTCGAACACCCCACCCAACAATAGAACTACGCGTAGTGGCTTTCTCCGTAGGGCGGCACCGTGTCTGACTCCCATGGCAACGGGTTCGGAATCGACTGTCGCCATATTTACGGCCGACATGTGACAAATTGGCCATGGAGCTGTTGCCACACTAGTGAAACTAATTAGTAAAAATGTTTTTCCGTGTGGTGCGGCTGCATGCTAGGTGGAATAATGTATAGGATAAGGTTTTTTCCCGTTTTTCCTTGCGGTAACTTTTGTCGTTTTTGATACAAATGGTCGTTGTTGTGGCATATGTCGATTTTCTCAAACTTTTATTTATTTATTATTTTTTTTTTTTATTCTGCACGTTTCTTCTCTCTCCCGCAAGTCTTGAGTTTTTTTTTTCTTTCCTTTTTTTATTCTTCGCCTGATTGACTGCTTGAAACGAGAACATCCGGGTCTTTGGAGAAGACATAAAGAGGAATGGGTGGTCATTATGTCGCGTCTTTAATCGTGTTTTTCGTTTTTCATTTTCTTTTACCATCTATACGGGGAGGCGTTTTATTGTTGAAATGAAAATAAAATTCTGTTTTTATGTTTGATTCGTATATGTTTTATGTATTTTCATACTGTTTTGCAAGTGTGCAATTAGCAATTTTTTTCTTAACGCATTTCTTATTCTTTTTTTATTTTTTTATTTCAGGTGAGTTGTTTTATCCTTGCTGTGTTGTTCTCAACGCGTGACTTGGTAACGTAGTGTTTATGATCTTCCTTTTTTATGATCTGTGCTAGTTACAATGTTTGTGTAATATCCTGTCCATTTAAAGAAAAAATGCTAAAAACGCTACGTAGGTTTTTGTGTTTAACTAATCTGAGTTTAAATAAATATAGTTTCTGTACTTCAGATATAAAGCAAAGCTTCAGTATTAAATATACAGTTCTCTTTGTTTAATGAAATACCAAAATGGCGCATTAAATTATCAGTTAGAAGCATCTTTTGAGTGAAGAATGTTTACTAAATTAATAAAAACCTTGCCCTACTGTGTTCCAATTTTTGCGATTCGAAGTCGCGTTCTATAAAATATTGCATTTATTTTTCTTGAATTATTTTTCTTTATTTATTTTTAAGCTTAAATTTAAAAATGGGTTTTACTTTTTACGTTAATTATTCATAATGTTTTCCACATTGAAAAGTGTTTTGCAGTTTTATACGGAACGCAATAAGAAATACAGTAGTGTATATCAGGATATTAAATTTTTGTAATAATTAGGAATGCTCTGAATTTTTAATTTTTGATGTTATGCAAAACGTATGCATATCCTTTTATCGGAACGTCGATGTAATGTTATTCTTTCATAGTACGTCGGATATTATGCGTATGTTTAGGGGCTGTTAGCTGTTGCCATAAATTTTGGCACTTATTAATCTTTCCTATGCATAATATTTTAAGGATATTCCGAAACATTTTTAATGGAGGATAAATTGAGCTATCTGCTTAGGATCTATTTTGAATCCACGTAGACTGTTCAGTAAGACTTAGAATTTTTTCATTTTCTTTTCTAAAAACTTTAGTCTTTATGGTAGTTAGAAATTGTGTTCTGCATTAGTGAACCGATATATAAATTAATTATCTACTGGTTACAAAAGTAGATATCATTTACAAAAGAGTATTATTAGTTGATGATGCATTGTGTCCAAAAAGCACGTTACCTAACCAAAAAGATTTAATTTGTATCCTTAAGGGAATTAAATTTTAAAAAAATACAAAACTTCAAATTTAATATGTCCTTACGGAAAAATTCTCAATTAGCAAAATATGGCCTATATATTAATAAGGTCATTACAAATAAAAGGGTAGCGTGTAAAATGTGACTTTTTCTTTTTACTGAGTATATATTTTTTTAAACACCTAAAAGTTCAAAAACATGAATATGTGCTATGCATAAAGATTTTTATATTTGGAAGCATACGCCTACAACCTACAATTTCAAAAAAGAAAGCTAGGTAAGACCATTTGTAGACACGAGGCGTATATACACTGCTTGTCAGAATTAAATGGTAATCTTTACACACACATACCCCCCCCCCCAAAGTTTCAGATTTTAAATTACGTTTAAAGGGGAGATTTTTAACGTTTTGTGTGCTACCTTTATTTATTTAATATCATGTTCTTTGCACTTAAACCATAAAATTCAGTTCAACAGCAATGTTGGAAAATAATTTTAAAATGAGCCTACCTTTAGAATTTCCGAAACACAGTTCCGCGCGTTGGAGATAAAAAGGTTTCCCCTCGTGTTGCCATCGCTGGCTTTGAAATCGTTGAGTTTGTTAATCAAAAATTCGTTAAAGTTTTACTAAGTATGAAATCGATAATAAAATAAATTCCAAATTTCAAAATTTCAAATATGGTCTTCCACATACCCATATTCGTAGGAGGATTACGTCATTCAAAATTCGATGGCTTTATGTACCGTTGTTTATCACAATGCGAGAAATATACATATATTTATTCAGGTTTTTCATTATTTAATTTCTTCCAATATAATTCAGGACTCTAACATTGGGTGGCAACAGTTTGAAAAGTGAAACGGATATTTATAGTGCTTCAACGCAAAATCGCAAAACGAAAACAATAGTCCTTCAGGTATAAAGCCCCTTTGAACTTAAAAAAAAAAAAAAAAAAAAAGAGTTTATTGATTTGCATTTTCAATCAGTGCCCAGTAGCGTAATTATTTATTTGAATTATCTGCAAATGAACGCAAATTTGGACTTCTGCGCATAAATTAGCGCATGAAGTATGCAAATTAGATCGGGTGTGTAGTGCTATTTACAAGTTAATGCGGTTTCTGAGAATGATCTTCATTAGTTAGGCTCAGTCATCATTGAAGTGAAGAGAAAGTGTAGCGATTGGTTCGTAGAATTGAAGGTGGAACAGACACGCATAGAAGTCATCCAAGATCTGAATCTCTGTCAAAGTATCACATAAAAAACTTGGAACTGCTTTTGAAACTGTGAAACAGTTGGTAGAGCGGCTAAGAGCCACAAGTGCGTCTACAGACCATTTATGTCATTGTCGGCGCGAAGAAACCGTGAATAGAACCTCAATTTGTTACAGGAACTCAAATCAACCGTTCTGCTGGTGCAGAGAGGCTTCACGAGATTGAAATTTATGCGATAAAAACCGATGGTTTGTATCCCGCTCGCTTCATCTTCAAAAGGGTCCCGATTAAGTGGTGTTGTCGTGATGTTCAAGACAGCCAAAAGGAGTATGACCATATATAGTTTGCAACTTGAAGATTTTCTTATTTTAACACGGATTGAGTCGAAATATTTTGAATATGGTAGATGGTTGATTTTTCGGTGTATCATAAATTTCACTAGTTCATGTCATTGTTCTTTTCATATTTTGTGGGCAGGCTGAATTCCTTTTTGAATTAAAACTGCCATTTTACCTCTCCATGCTCCGGAATTTGAATTAAAACCGTCATTTCATCAGATGGATTTTAAAATCCCTAATTTGGGCTGTTTAGATTAAATATGCTATGTTATTCATTTCTGCCATTTTTTAGCATTGTCTGTTACGTCATGAAAACAGCTTCGTGCTTAACATCATAAGGCATCCATTCAAAATCGTCCAACAATTCCTTTTCACGATATAATTTACATATTTTAATCCACTTTTTTCCTCATTGAAGTTCTCCAGGATTCTTAATCCGCGTTTATCCATGTTAGTCCGTGTTTTCCTCATTGAATCCATGTTTTCATCATTGAAGTTGACACAGAAATTGCCTTTGGCTCAGACGTTTCTTATAGAATTTGCCTTTGAGCTAAAGTTGCTGTTTCTAGATTCGGTAATCAAGTGTTTAATAATTAGATGCTACTTTGCTGTTAACACGTTTATTATGGTCAGAACCGTTCCTAAGTCACTGGCTGCCTGCGTACTTTCTTAAGGTTGCCGCCCTCATATTTAAAAACAAAAAATGCTCAATGGGTAATAAAATTTTTATTTTATGCTCACTAAATTCGTACACATGACAAATTGTATAAAAAGTACTTACATATGACATGTACTTAAAATGAATTAAAAAATTTAGACGTGGTATCAGTAGTGTCCGGCCGACCCTGACTTTGACCGCCCGCGTACTTTTATGCGCTGCCCCCCTCCCGCTAAGAACGGCTCTGGTCATGGTTTTGTGGTATAAAAACTTTGAATACCATATTTGTGTATCGTAAATCTAAACAAGTTTTCCTGTATTTCTGTGTATTTTACAGTGCAGAATTTCTTCTATTTCCAGTATACAGAGCGTCTCCAAAGCACTCACCTCGGCTTTTATTTCTTAAATATGACTGTAAACATATAACTTACAAAATTGCTAAAAAATATGTACAGAATTTTATGAAATCAATTAGAATTTTCAAGGAATTAAATTTAAAGAAATACAAAATTTACATTTTTATGCCCCCCCCCGTACTGAAAAATTCCCAATTAGGAGAATGTGGCCCATACGCTAATAAGGTCATGTATAAAATTTCGGCATTTTATCACGAAATTTGCAGAGATATGAAATACATAAATGCTGAACTTAAACTACTACTTTATGCCTGGATATGATTTCGGGAAGCATAATTTTGTAAATTTGTAAATAATATTAAAGATAAGAGCCATATTTTATAGGCTTATGATGCATTTCTTCAACTCGTCATCTGCAATGTGTCTGTAAGCATTTACATTCTAATTTATGATCAACCCCTCAGCAACTTTGTTTAAACGTATAAGGTATTTCTCCCCGCCTTCTTAGCATGCCTTGTGGTGTAGTAGTCAGCACGCTCAACGCGTATTCGAGAGGTTCGTGGTTCGAGTCCCGGCGAGGACGTTGATAATTTTTCATCTCTCCTGCTTCAAAATCACCTTATGTCTCGAAAAACGTATCTGCGAATTTTTATAATAAAAGGCTGAAATTTTGCTGAAATTTTGTACATGACCGTACCCGTGTATGGGGCACTTTTTGCTAGAGGAGAATTTTGCTGTACGGGGACCATATAAAAATGTAAATTTGTTGCTTTTCTTTAAATTTAATTCCATGAAAAGTTTAATTGATTAAGTAAAATTCTGTACTTTTTTTACGTAACTTTGTAATTAATATTATACGTCTACGATCATATTTAAGGTATAAAAGTCAAGGCCAATGTTTTAGGAACACCCTCAGTGGAGCTACCAAAAAGGATTTATTCCAAAGGAATTTTTTCGGAAATACTAATATACTTCTGTAAAAGTTTTTTTCGCATTAAACAAGAGCTTCAATGGTCTGTTTCGGCGAAACGCGTAATGGTATTTAGCCTATTTCGTAGAACAGTTTTTTTTTCCCTTGAAAAGCCAACTGAGAGTACGAGTGGGCTAATATAGCATTTTCCCGCTATTTAATTATTGTTTTTGTAGCTAGTTTTTGATGCTTTTTGTGTCTTTATTATATTTTTTAATTTTGATTTTAATTTTTATGTATTGGCATATTATATATTGGCAATTTTAATTTTAATTTTTTATGTATAGGCATTTTTATATATTGACATTTATAATCCATGTTTTTGTAACTTCCTTATATATATATATATATTTTCCGTCCATCTATTTTTCATGTGAGTTAACATTTCACATTACTCAACGGTCAGATTCATTAATTTTTTTCGTGCATTAGCAAGTCTTCCAGCACTAAAATTTGGCAGTTTTATTGCGCTTATACAGTTTTTCC